GTGTATCAAATACTTATTTGCCCCACTGTATCCTGCTATTTCTGCAATACAGTGCATACTCCGCTATCAAGATATACTGTATATAAAATATACCATTTAGCTTATTAGGCAAAGTGGCTGCATCAGACAGTAAAGGCCACATATTTATAGATTAAAGTGTCATCTTGCTGAACACTGGAACACTGAACCTGCATTGCTGACAAACAGTGGTGTGTATTTGTGTGTGCTGGTTTACTGGCTTGATGCAGGTGCTGTCCCCTCTGTCCCCTCTGTCCAGGGTGCCAGAGTCCTGGAGGAAGCCTGGGGCACACCCGGGGCTCCTCTGGTTCTCTCCAACACAACTGTCCTCCACTGTGTCGCACCACTCCGCCAAACATTTCTTCTTCTTCTCCTCTGTCAACCAGAACATACACACAGGGGATGAAGACATCTCTTTTTTTCTTCATTCACTCTGACTAATGAACTAATGAACGTAAGCTTCATACCTGTCTGCATCTCTTCCTTGTATTTCTTCATGTCCTTATTTTGGAAGCCCGTCAGTCTCAGGATGTCCTCCAGAAAGAGTTCCTGCACTTCAAAATGTCTTCCCTTGACTATAGAGAAATAGAAATAAAAACCCTCTTAATTTATTAATAAACAATGAACCTGAATTTGCATTGTTCTGTTTAATAATAGCTCATCTTTTAATGTAGAGTGAACTGTTCATGAAGTGAAATGTGTTTTCTATATAACAGTCTCACTCCAGTATTTAATAATGCATTTTTTTCTTAATTTAGGGTGAGGGCCGTGTACGTGATTGATGCTATTTCTGTATCGTGTTCACTCCCTTTTTTTAATCTCAGTAGTTTTAACCCTGAGCTCTTCCAGTGTTTAAACCCATTATTATAAGGTAGTTTACTGACAATCACTTTGCATGGCTGTTACTCTACATGTTCTATGACCCAACTGAAAATCTCACATAAAAGCGTCTGAGAAATCTGTTTAAAATGAACATGTGAAGTGCCGTCCCACCACATCTATAGGGGGAAAGTAAAATTATTTAGGCCCACTATATCAAGGAAAATTAGGCAGATAAAAATATGTTAATATGGTTTTATGTGACTCATAAATACTACACAAAGTTTCCACAAATATGTATTTTTGACAAATTATTCCGGGAGATTATTTCAAGGTTAGAGGGCCGTTTTGGGGCTCCCATGTCAGCGGCACTGCACACAAGCACACAGATCTGCATGTAGTCTCAATCTAGCAAGGGTTTATCAACTGTGCCTTGTGTTTGTTATACTCACATCATATTGACTGTGCAGTTTATAATAAAGCATTGTTATATATTCATAAACAGATTGAGATTGCTGTTCTTTCTGTGAAATTAATTGAACAGTCCATCCATCTTTCATCCAGCACAGACTTGGTAGGACTTACTGTGGATAACAGGACAGGAGCCAAAGTATCTAAGGAACAGGTCTACATCCAGAGCTGCACTGGACAGGATCAGTTTCAGTGTGGGGATTTTCTGAAGCACATCCCGCATCTTAGTTAGCAGGAAGTCAGTCAGACCATCACGTTCATGCACCTCATCCTGTTGAAACACAGCATGGTACTTCCACTTGTGTTTGTTCAGCGAGTTCAAAACAAAAGCCAAAGTGGGAGGTGACAAAGGCTTTCGAGAGTAACTAAACCCACCACCCAACAAGAGTCTAAAATAGGTATATTTTATGAAGCGAGGTTACAGAGTTGACAGTTCTCTCAGTGTGTATGTCCCGTACTATATGTGACGCTCACCACAATGACATGTGTGACAGTTGTCAGGCTGGCATCTCCACCCATCAGTGTTCTGAGGAACACTCCACTGGTGCAAAAGGTCAGCAGTGTCTTGGGAGAGATCCTGAGGTTTCAAAGTCAACAATTAAGAGTCACTTCCTTATGAAGCAATGCAAGTGTTCTCAACAAGCCTGTAAATGTTAGATTGAAGAGTTGGTAAATTCTAAATTTTGCAAAATGAAGTTAAATAATTATCTTAAATGTGGGACCACGCCTCACACACAGGGCCCTTTTCTGCAGAAATATGTAACATTGCTGGCTTCATCTATCTGTTAAAGTCATGCTCTCCGTCATTAAGATTGTCTCTGTTATGTTAATGTTCTGAATGTTTTTCACACATTACAGCACATTTACACAAAGAGCCGCAACACTCATTCAATACTCTGCAGGAAGATGGAGAACAGGGAGCTCAGCTGCTTCACTGATGGATTACAAAACTTATGCCGTCGTCGTCTTAATTAACAGCCAGGATGCTCGCCTCCTCATCTCACAGTGAAACCATTATTTCCCCACCAATTTCATCAATTCAGATTATTTGAGAGGGAATTTTGCTGCCTGCTCCTAGTGATGATAATGCACCTGCTCTCCAGTCGGATGTGATAGCCAACAGTCTGGCCCACACTCTCCCCTCTCTCTGCTGCCACTCTCTCAGCCACAGCAATGGCAGCCAGGCGACGGGGCTGAGTGCAGAAGATCCTGCAGGGCTCTCCGTTCCTGCTGCACTCATCTAGCAGGAACTGTGGGATCTAGAAAATGTGCACAGGGACAGTTCATCCTAAGGCTTTGTCTTTACCACACACTACACAACAGCTGTCCATTATTATTAAATTTAGTCCCTCCAATTTTATAAATACAGAAATGAATACAAAATTAAACCACTTGCTGCACATTTCCAAGATCACACCATTTAATTTTAGTCACAGTATTTCTGAAGAACCATGAATGTGTAAAATAATTTCCATTTCATCTTATCCATTGGTTGTCAGACAGACCCACCTGTGTAGTTTTTCCAGAGCCGGTCTCTCCCACCACCAGCACCACCCTGTTTTCTCTGATGAGCTGGACGATCTCCTCCTGGCGCTCATGGACTGGCAGGGAGCATCGAAAACTGTCCAGTTCCGTTGGACTCCTCCTCCGAGGTACCATGGGAATGCCGTTGTTTAAGCCCCCGCTTGCCTTGCTCCTGTCTGAGGGAAAAGCTGAAGTATATTACATGACCCAATACAACACCCCTGTTGAGCTGGAGTAGGACAGTAAATGAAATCTTGAAATGCTGAGCAATGGCTGCATGTTATGATGAACTAGACTGGTTGGTGTCCTGACGTTACTGTAATAATAATAACAATCTCTGCAGAACAGGGAGAATGAGACAACAAAATCCAGTAGAACAAGACAAATAAAGGTGAGATTTGTACTTTATTAGAGGTGTTTTATAAAGGTGAGATTTGTACTTTATTAAAGGTGTTTACAAGCATCGTGGTCTACTTTTGCAAGAGAAAGGACTATGATGGACTATGACTATATATCTCAGAATAAATAAATATATATAAGAGCACTGTTTCAACAGAAATACAAGTGCTCTCCGCTCCTTGTTATTCCCACAAATCCATATGGCAGTCGACACTATATATCAACTTAAGTAGGTCGCAGTTTAACTGTTGCATCATAAGCATCTGTCTTTTACTGATTTTTAAATACTGAGAAACATGTAGCAATAAAATCATCACAGTGTCTGTAATTGAATTGGATAAATTACAGTTAGACTATATCGTTAAAAAAAATGTAAGAAATGTTTATGCCCAGGTATTTCATGTGCTCTTCTACAAATCATCAGTTAATTTAACCTCAGTTAAATTAACCAAACAGTGGATTTGGTGAATCACTATACCCCTAACATGCAGAGAATGAGTGCATGTAAACACAGTCACTGGCACTCACCATGTTCTGCAGCCACAGACATGTCACTTCTGTTGTTGAGTTGCAAGTCTGCACGTTGCTTATTGGTGATGGGAAACCTCTGAAGCAGGCTTCGGATGAAATATAAGGAATTCTGGGAGACTGTGAGGGGCATGGTAGGCTGAGGTTTCTCTAAACCGCCCTTCTTCCTAATGGTGAGGATGCGATATGGCTCTTTCCTTAAAGAGAAGGAGAGAAATGTCTTCCATTAACAGCATGGCAACGGGCTGACCAATCACATACATGCAACCATGCAGTCCTGACGGAATACTTTGCAAGTTTTCCGCTGTTTACGTCAATATCATCACAACCAAATAGAAAACCGTTGCTGCCCTACTTGTACAATCCTGTTTGTGAGTATTACAAACCACTGTGCTGCATTTTGGCATCTTCTAACCTTAAACACATAAATGTGTTCCTCCCACATCATATTTCATTGCCTCACCTGCACATGAAATATCACACCAACAACTTCCTGGACTGTGATGACACAGGACACACGGATTCTGTGTGAAGTCGGCCAACTATTGCCATGCAGTGGCTGTGTTTATATTCCTCCATTTACTGTGATAAAGTGTCTGCAGTGGGGTCTGTTGTATGTTGCTTGCTGAAAAAGGAGAAGACTATTGTCTTTCTTCAACTTTCTTAATGTTGTCTTTACTGTCAATCTCCACCAGCAGCAGAAACTTAGAGAAAATGCAAGCAGCCACTGCTGACCAATCACAGTGCTTGCAGTCATATGGTCTGCCTGTAGCCACATTACTTGCAGTGTAGCGTAGAGGAGCTACACCAAAGCTGTGCCACAGAGCTACAAATCCAACTCCAGAGTCAAACACTACCTACCCCTGTGATAGTGGGTGAGTGGGTGTTACTTTACTCATGTCTTTTCCAGCTCTGGTTACACTTTATGCACAAGTCCTTCGAGTGCTACTCAAATACCTGACGAGCACAGGTGCTGGTGGAAGAACTTACCCTTTACTCTTAGAAATGTAACCCAGTGACTGTGCCATTCGATGAATGAAAGCCCTTTCATTGCTGGTCAAGGAGGAGGGAAATTCCATCTCTGTTCAGTCAGAGAACAGAAAGAGTAAATATTAGGACACTCTACAAGACTTCATTGTCACACATTTCTTCTCACACAGCAGTGAACCATGAACGTGACATACCTCTGTCATGTGACTGAACAAAGTCTAATACTTCACTAAAGCTTTTATTTTGCCATATAAAACAAAAAAGCAGCTGATACCTCTCTCGTCGCTGTAACGAAACCTCTCCAGAGAGAGGTTCACTGCTATCTTTACTTCTTCATCAATGCGAATTTCTTTGAGGCGTTTGGAGATGGAACCACGGGAAGTTTTCTGGCTCTTGGCTGTTTTTTGTGAGGTTGTACTGGCATTCAACATGATGCACTGCAACACAATGACAATTTATCTTACCACCGTTCCCCAAATTTGGGAAAACAGACTGACTGCTTAACATCTTGTGCAAATCCAAATCTCCTGAATGTGCCTAGAATGTAAGAAGTAAACTAAAGAGAGCAGTGGGAACACTACAAAACACACACTTTGTGTGTCAAATAAAAGTTATTGGTTGAATAACAATGAATACTGTTATGTGTTGTTCAACATTCCGAGTTTTTTTTTTTTTTTTTTTTACTATTTAATTACAAATTCCTATATGGCTGCTTGTCACAACAGCAAAACAAAACTGCCATATTTGAGAGGCTGGAGAGGTGAAATGGATAAAATCCTCTATCACTGTGAATTTATATTATAATACTGATATTTATTTGACACCATACAATGTCTCTATATAACTGAAACAGATGTAGATCTTATTGGCTCCCACTTGAAGGCTTTCTGCTGCTGGCTACATGGCTAAAAAGCAACATGATAATACTGGGGAAACTTGACAAATGGTAATTAGTCATAAAAAAGGTTCATATTAACTGAAGAGTAACAGCAGTGTCTACCTATGCTCCAACACAACAACCTGTGTGTCTGTGTGCATTGTGTCATTCTTACCAGATTGTGTGAAATAGTATGACTCAAAGAGAAGAGGGTCAAAGAACAGGGAAAGCAGCTACTGTGTGAAACAAAAAGAGAAGAGAAACCTATGGATTAGAAATGGGCGGATGATACCGAAGCTCCAAATCTTGTTTCTCTCCAGTGAAGCCCAGTGTCTAGACACACAGTTTCAGAGCTGTGGCAGCTGTATCAAATGATGAAAACCATGTGACTGATGATGTCTGAAGAGACTTCACTGGCACTTCAGAAAGTACTTTATTGAGTTAAAGGTTTCTGAAACATTTGCAGCTATACTAGGGTCATTAGTGGAATAAGAAGAGGGAGTCATCCACCTGGTAACAAAGAATAATATTATAAAACTAATAGCATCATTTAATGAATAGCACTCTCCAATCACATATTACAACTCACACGAAATGTTACATAAACCATAAAGTTTGACATAGGTCCACAGTGACATTGGGCCTTAACTACCATAAATGAAGTAATTAATATTTAGTGGCAACAAATATGTTTTACATCTGGGCTTCTTGGGCAACATATTTGTTATTTACTGTTGCATACTACCGACATAGTAACATCTACTTTAATGCGGTACTTCTAAACAAACAAACTTAATAAAAACACGGCGTCTTCCTGAACACTTATTACAGACATATGAAACTGAACGTATTAAAATAAATGAGGCCTTGTAGTGTTTCGGCTCCAGTCTTTAAGTGCTGCTATAAGATTTATCAGCCACCAGATGTCGCTGCAATTGTTTTATTTAAAGCGCCAAAGCATCGGATCGTCATGTCGGCACAAATGGGGGGAAAAAAGCAACCAAGGTTTATCCGGACATCACAAGTAAACATGTCGAACATTATTGTGGTGCCTTTTCACTGGACGTAAAATGACAACTTTTTGTTTTTTTTTCCCATTGCTGCAGACTTGTATGAGGTAACGTTAACTCATACCTACTATAAGCAATACACTGACAAGTTGGTATCATTTAAGATCGGCAAACATCGATAAATAAATTAGCGACTAACGTTAGAGGAGAAATTACTGAGGTGAAGCGTTTTACATTAATCTAGGTAAGTTTGCCTTATGAAGCCTGTCCCCAAGTGTTTGTGTTTCATTTCACCTATATCGAAACAGAACTAACTTGGTGTTAGCTACGTTAGCTGAACGACTGAGACACGCCGCGATAAGAAAACCATAGCCTGTTATCTGTCCAGCCTTGTCAACAAACTAATCAACAGATACTGTACCTCGATGAATGAAGCGCTCCGGCCTCCAGCGACTCTCAAACAGACAACAAGCAGCCCCTTCTCTGCGACGTGCTCCAATGAAGCAGTCCCAACGTTTATGCCTTCTGGTTCTGCCGGTAAAAATACCGCCAACAAAAGTAAATCCGGTCCGACTCCTTCAAAATCATGGCGTCATTACGTCAAACCTCACTAAGTAATGTAATTTGGGCTAACCTTTAAGCCATTGTGGTTAAAAAAAAAAATACTGTAGCTCGTCAAAATCATCACGGCCAACTGTAAGGTTATATCTCTGACATGAAGAAAACATTATCAAGAAGCTTAAAAAAGTATGTCCGTTATATTCAGGGCAGAAATGTTAACTTCCGGTTAGGCTTCATAATAAAAGCGAGAGGGAAATACAATTGTGTGCAAATGTTTGGGTGCCTGTGGATAAATTCCGTTTTTTTTTTTATTTTTCAAATGAAAAGAGATAAATACAACCCCCGAAGCAAACAGACGTTAAAAATGCTACCTTTTATATGTTCAAGACAGAGGTCTGTAAGGTTCTTGGAAACATAATAAAATATAGCATCGTTTTCCTCAACTGCATTATTGGTGTGTAATGTCTGATACTAAAAATACTTTCAATTTATTATGGAAAGCACACATTTACAAAACAAACTAAATATACCATCAAATATACCAACAGTTAGCCCCCAAATATGAGCTTACACCAAGAGAAGAGAAACACTGAAATAGCAGATAAATATTTTAACTTGTGTTATTGGTGTGACATCAAAAACTAAGAGTGAAAAAAACAGACTTTATTAATATTCACAGTTAAAGTCAAAACACAATTGAAACCAAAGCAAAACTTGAGCTCATTATCTGTATAATGAATAATGAAGAAAACCCAGTGACAAACATCACAAGAAGAGATGTCACATCCAGTCATCTTACATGTTTGTGTGTATGACAGTCCCTTTAGAAAATGCAAACTGCTAGATCCTTTTCAGAGTCATCTGTAATGTTTTTGAGAATAACAGTCTAACAGAGTGGTCCTCCATCATGGTCCATAGCCCAAGTCTGCAAGTTTTCATGCCAACCAAACATTGTGCTAGCAAGTGGATAATGAAGAATATGATTGAGAGCTTGTGGCCTGAGAAATCTCAACAGGAGTTTACACCTGGGATTACAAGACTGCTAAAAAACAAAAAGACAAACATAAGTGTGGGTCTTTTTCAGGAAAATATGAATAATGTACAAGTCTGCAACTGTAAATATTAACATTTAAATATTTAGTCAAATTGAAATGTCATTTTTCTTTTTTATGTGCATGGTGTATGACAAAATTCAAAATGTTAAAATTATGTTTTCACGTTTAGTGGAATTTGTGCAATTAATGCCAAAATGCAAAGGCTTCAAAGTCCACTGACCTTTGGATCAGTGCGCTCCTCCTGAGCAACGCACTGCTACAATAAATAAACTGAATATGAAACTTTTGTTTTATTTTCAAATTTTAAATTCAATGTACAACTTGAGCATGAAAATAAATTTGCAAACCAGACTCTGGCAGTGTTCACAAGAATTCTGCCATTACGGACATTTCTGTATCAAATGATGAAAACCATGTGACTGATGATGTCTGAAGAGACTTCACTGGCACTTCAGAAAGTACTTTATTGAGTTAAAGGTTTCTGAAACATTTGCAGCTATACTAGGGTCATTAGTGGAATAAGAAGAGGGAGTCATCCACCTGGTACCAAAGAATAATATTATAAAACTAATAGCATCATTTAATGAATAGCACGCTCCAATCACATATTACAACTCACACGAAATGTTACATAAACCATAAAGTTTGACATAGGTCCACAGTGACATTGGGCCTTAACTACCATAAATGAAGTAATTAATATTTAGTGGCAACAAATATGTTTTACATCTGGGCTTCTTGGGCAACATATTTGTTATTTACTGTTGCATACTACCGACATAGTAACATCTACTTTAATGCGGTACTTCTAAACAAACAAACTTAATAAAAACACGGCGTCTTCCTGAACACTTATTACAGACATATGAAACTGAACGTATTAAAATAAATGAGGCCTTGTAGTGTTTCGGCTCCAGTCTTTAAGTGCTGCTATAAGATTTATCAGCCACCAGATGTCGCTGCAATTGTTTTATTTAAAGCGCCAAAGCATCGGATCGTCATGTCGGCACAAATGGGGGGAAAAAAGCAACCAAGGTTTATCCGGACATCACAAGCAAACATGTCGAACATTATTGTGGTGCCTTTTCACTGGACGTAAAATGACAACTTTTTGTTTTTTTTTCCCATTGCTGCAGACTTGTATGAGGTAACGTTAACTCATACCTACTATAAGCAATACACTGACAAGTTGGTATCATTTAAGATCGGCAAACATCGATAAATAAATTAGCGACTAACGTTAGAGGAGAAATTACTGAGGTGAAGCGTTTTACATTAATCTAGGTAAGTTTGCCTTATGAAGCCTGTCCCCAAGTGTTTGTGTTTCATTTCACCTATATCGAAACAGAACTAACTTGGTGTTAGCTACGTTAGCTGAACGACTGAGACACGCCGCGATAAGAAAACCATAGCCTGTTATCTGTCCAGCCTTGTCAACAAACTAATCAACAGATACTGTACCTCGATGAATGAAGCGCTCCGGCCTCCAGCGACTCTCAAACAGACAACAAGCAGCCCCTTCTCTGCGACGTGCTCCAATGAAGCAGTCCCAACGTTTATGCCTTCTGGTTCTGCCGGTAAAAATACCGCCAACAAAAGTAAATCCGGTCCGACTCCTTCAAAATCATGGCGTCATTACGTCAAACCTCACTAAGTAATGTAATTTGGGCTAACCTTTAAGCCATTGTGGTTAAAAAAAAAATACTGTAGCTCGTCAAAATCATCACGGCCAACTGTAAGGTTATATCTCTGACATGAAGAAAACATTATCAAGAAGCTTAAAAAAGTATGTCCGTTATATTCAGGGCAGAAATGTTAACTTCCGGTTAGGCTTCATAATAAAAGCGAGAGGGAAATACAATTGTGTGCAAATGTTTGGGTGCCTGTGGATAAATTCCGTTTTTTTTTTTATTTTTCAAATGAAAAGAGATAAATACAACCCCCGAAGCAAACAGACGTTAAAAATGCTACCTTTTATATGTTCAAGACAGAGGTCTGTAAGGTTCTTGGAAACATAATAAAATATAGCATCGTTTTCCTCAACTGCATTATTGGTGTGTAATGTCTGATACTAAAAATACTTTCAATTTATTATGGAAAGCACACATTTACAAAACAAACTAAATATACCATCAAATATACCAACAGTTAGCCCCCAAATATGAGCTTACACCAAGAGAAGAGAAACACTGAAATAGCAGATAAATATTTTAACTTGTGTTATTGGTGTGACATCAAAAACTAAGAGTGAAAAAAACAGACTTTATTAATATTCACAGTTAAAGTCAAAACACAATTGAAACCAAAGCAAAACTTGAGCTCATTATCTGTATAATGAATAATGAAGAAAACCCAGTGACAAACATCACAAGAAGAGATGTCACATCCAGTCATCTTACATGTTTGTGTGTATGACAGTCCCTTTAGAAAATGCAAACTGCTAGATCCTTTTCAGAGTCATCTGTAATGTTTTTGAGAATAACAGTCTAACAGAGTGGTCCTCCATCATGGTCCATAGCCCAAGTCTGCAAGTTTTCATGCCAACCAAACATTGTGCTAGCAAGTGGATAATGAAGAATATGATTGAGAGCTTGTGGCCTGAGAAATCTCAACAGGAGTTTACACCTGGGATTACAAGACTGCTAAAAAACAAAAAGACAAACATAAGTGTGGGTCTTTTTCAGGAAAATATGAATAATGTACAAGTCTGCAACTGTAAATATTAACATTTAAATATTTAGTCAAATTGAAATGTCATTTTTCTTTTTTATGTGCATGGTGTATGACAAAATTCAAAATGTTAAAATTATGTTTTCACGTTTAGTGGAATTTGTGCAATTAATGCCAAAATGCAAAGGCTTCAAAGTCCACTGACCTTTGGATCAGTGCGCTCCTCCTGAGCAACGCACTGCTACAATAAATAAACTGAATATGAAACTTTTGTTTTATTTTCAAATTTTAAATTCAATGTACAACTTGAGCATGAAAATAAATTTGCAAACCAGACTCTGGCAGTGTTCACAAGAATTCTGCCATTACGGACATTTCTAGTTCAATTAGAAATTAGCTAAAATCTGAGCATAATTTAAATTCACATTCAAGTCCAGCTTGCAATTTCATGTATGATGCACATGGTCTACCAAATTGGTTCATTCTATTATTACTGTGCACACTTAAAATGATATCTCAGTGGGATTTTCCTTTGAATGTGTCATGTCTGGCTTTAATTATGGATTTTGAATTATGAATTTTAATACTGACACTCACAGACTTCATACATTAGAATATCATGAATTTAATGATGTTCAACTTGTGAAGAAGACTACTTCTTCTTTCTTACCCCAAGTCAATATTCTATTACATTCTAAACTTGTGTACAAAATCTTTAGTAATTCTTGTAATAAATCCTATAAAACTGTTAATAACCACCTTTCTTCAGCATCCAAAACTATTTAGGAAAATAGTTAGGAACTGGAAAAATTGAGGAAATTACCACTACCACTTAAAATCAACATATAACATGAAAAATCTAACTGATTCACTGGCCAGATTCACTGAGATATAACAGTTGAATTTCAGGCTTTTCAGTTACCTCATGTGCTTAAAATCTATAGTATTCTGAAAACTTTTCATCTTTTTCCTTTAAAAGATGAGCATTTAACTGTGAGCCATCCTCATTTTTAGGCTTTCAGTGAATGAAGTTATGAGTACACCTTGAACAGATTCAGAACAGTGGTGTTAGATTTCCCATTGGTTTGACAAGTTCTAAAAACGCAAATAAACTCTAGTGAAGGTTGGTGGATGTGTTCAATGGCAAATGGTCAACTCCCTGTAAATTGGTTCACATCAGCCAAGGTAAGAAGGAAAAGGTCACGTTCAGTAACATCTCTGCCTGTACTGAGTGGAAAAATTCTCTGAGGACGTAGTATGATATTGTTACAGGCATAGCACAGTGCTTCTTCAGCCATGTCAGTAGTCAAAACATTTCATGATGGCATCTCTGTCAAATCTGAAATTGAGGAAAGCCTTGGAGGACAGCAGGTGCTCACAGTCTGTGCTGTGGGCTGTCTGGTGTCCATTGGAACCACATGGGGCCACATCTGTGAAAAAAAAAGCTTGTTTACAACCTCACTTTCTGGATAATGTTCACTTTGGCTTTGATCTTAGGAAGCTGATTTTACCAAAAATACTTAATACCAAAAATGATTTTTTTGGTATTAAGTTCAATGAACTGTGCTGTTTTATGTAGCTCCTAGCACACATGCAGGTTAAGGTTGGAATACCAACCGGGAAAAGCTGTCAAGTGCCTTGAGTGCCACAGACATACAAGGGCCTTAAGTCAGAACAATAAATCGACAAATCATCACCATCGGAGTTCAATTACCACTGGTAACATTTCTCGGTGGTGCCCGCCACGCCAAGATCTTTTCCACCACGCAGCAAGATTAACACAATTAATCATTTAATCAAGTGCCTCAGTGGCTCAGCGGGGATGCCCGTAAAACAACAGGGCGAGTCACATACACAGTTGCAACTAAGGCCAAATCTGATGGAGGGTATTTTTCACACAACAGACAGAACACCATTTTATTAAAACATGTCTCTGGCATGTGCATACAACTATTGCTGTCCAACACATTTCTGTTGATGGTGCACAGTGCTCCCCCGCCAACCCTCTTGATCCACAGCAAACACTGGAGTTTAAAACTGCTGTTAAGAGACACCTTTTTAGGTTAGCTTATCATTTATAAACAAATTGCACTGTGTTGATACAACAGAATGGCACATTTCACATTAATGTATATTGTGTTATTGCATTATAATTTATTATAACGCATCATTGTGCTCATCAGAGTCAAGCAATCAAATAACAACTTGAATTATATAGTTAGTTATCGACAGACTGGTATGAAAAAATTATCACGATAAAATATTCTGCCATATCTCCCAGCCGTATGTACAAATGACCAAGAAATATATTCCAGGAAATATACTGGAAAGACAGGAGTACTTAGCTAAACCAAAGGATAGATATCTGGGTACTATCTGCTGTAATATAACAGATCCTTTCTTTACTGTACTCTACTGTGTTATTGTACTGTATTCTACTGTGCTACTCTACTGCGTTTACTTACTGTGCTGTTTTACTCTGCTATGTTTCTTCACTGAACACTACTGTGCTTTCTCAGCCTGCTAGTATTGCAGTCCTGGTCTCCTTTCAAAGTTAGATAGCTAGGGTAACTGTGCAACCGTACCTCTCTCAAAACTGTCTTGCAGTCTTCTGGGTTGAAGTCTTTTATCTTCTTTCTGTAAAAATAGTACAAGTTGCACTGCTTGTGTCAAATAATCACTTACAGATCAGCATCATGACATAAGCCGCATCTAAGATCCACTGGCAATAATAGTTGGTGCAATGTTCAGCAATTCTGTTTACTAAAAACAACAATCTGACACAAATTTGTACTGGCAATTACCATCCGTGTTAATTTCATTAAAGAAATTATTAGTTTCCTTTTCAGGGTGAAAAGGAAACTGAATAAAAAGTAACATTTGACGAATTGTTTTACATTTTTCATCAACGAATAAGAATTAAAGGATAATATGGATAATAGACGAATGGACATGAAGTAACTTAACGACCTGCCACATCTGTGAAATCACAAACGGTAGGTGCTGATCAGTAAATGTTTCCTGGCCGGCCAAAGACATGAACTACCAGCTTACATTCAGTAACATTCTGTCTCTGGCATTAACGCTTCTTGGAAGAAATTGAATTATGCACAAAGACCACTGAGACACAATAGGGAAATGCAGCAGCACACCATATGAAAAGGTAGGATAATTTAATATGAAACACTGTGGATGTAGATGTAACTTTAAGGTTCCTTTCAGTCGGTTATCTATTGTGTTGCTATCAGTTCAACCTTAAATCATCTCTAGGTGTTCGCTGTCGAGATCTCACTGTTTTACTGTTATGTGACGATTTAGATTCACCCCTCAGGCTGAACCCAGTGACAAGGATTTTAGTACAAGTGTCAGTAAGTCAAACGTCTGCAGAGCAGAGGGACACACAAGCCTCACGATGGACGGGAACAACACGTGTAACCGTGGTCATTGTGCACAACCAGGATGAAGAAGATATAGCCTACAGTAAATATTAAAAATGCAGTTTAAAAAGGATGAAAACTAGACTAACATGTATTTAGTTTTTAATCGACTAAAACTAATACAGATCTTTATCAAAAGTCTAAAATGAAATCAAATTCAGGTGTCAAAATTAACACTGCTTACCAATATGATTTTCACCTGCTGGTTGCTGGCTCCATTGTCACTGGCTCCTTTCTTCACACAAAGTGAGTCCTGACATTTTCTTCCATTGCTCTTCAAGTTTGGGTTCTACAGAGTAAAGAACAGAAGTTATGAGCAGCCCGTGGCTGAAGCAGGGCTTTCTCAAACCACTGACAGTCTCTATGTGCCATCTCAGTAAACCAGGCTGAACCTTCACTTAAACCAAATTGAGGCTTTGTCACCAGATCCTGTCCCTCAACTCATGAAGACCAAAATGATGTGTTAAGGCAATCGTCATCAACTTATAATTTTCAATGGTCTAAATTTAACATCAGGAAATAGTAAAGTAAGTAAAGACAACTGGAGATGTGATGGGGAAAATGGGAAATGTTGTGTAG